CTTTTTCCGTGTCTGGCAACGGATCGCAACCCTCAGTGTCACCCCCGCACCGGACCGGGACCAGCAACAGGATCGCAACCCTCGGCGTTGCCCCCGCGCCTCGCTCAGCCAGTGAGCGGGAACCGGTCTGCATGTGGGATCCGAACCCTCGGCGGGAGCGCCGCCACGCTTCCCAAGCAGCGCACTATAGCAGTGCGCCACTGGGCCGGCCCCAACCTTCGTCACTGTTGACAGCAACATCTTCATCTTTTCCACCATCTGAGTTTTCATGTTTTAAGGAATGTGCACAAGGAACTCTGCAAATGTACCTGAATAATGGCTGTTTTTGCCTTCCTCCACCTGAAAGAGCAAAAAGTGTTCACTTCTTCTACCCCACCCACACCCATTAATCTCATAATAATATGAGATTATTAAATTTGAAGCTGTCTTTTGGGAAACACAACACATGGAAAGGTATAGCAAGGTTAAGTGTTTTTTACTGGAAAATGATTGGGGGCCTGGACTTCCAAGGTGGGCTTAGACCACCAGTTCTCTTTTAAATAAGGAGAGAATGACCTTTAACCCATCAAAAAGGGACAGGCAAAGCAGACAACCAAGAGAGACATGTAGCATTTCCACTGGCCCTAACGATGACTGATTGGTTGAGAACCCAGACACAGAGCCCCTTCTTTATTTGCACAGCTGGAGAACATTCCATTAACCCGATTTTTGAAGGAGAATCAGCCAGTGCTTATGTAAAATTGTGGCACACTGATCATTAGAGAAGGTCATCACAGCTTTATGGAATATCTGGTCAGCCCCTCTTTTCTGTTTTCTCAGTTCACTTGTTTATGCAATAGTTTGAACGCAGAACTTTAAACTCCACAAGCCACTCTACAGTGGCAACAATTGTTTTAATGTATTTAAAACGGCTTGCTACTTTGCCTCATTAGGGCTGGTTCCCTCAAGGTAGGGCCTACTTATGCGTAAAATGAAACAAACCAATGAGCTCCAGGCTTCTCTGGATGTTGCTAGTAGATTGGAGGAGGAAGAGAACTCCTGCCAGGGGTATGAATGTCCCCCGATATCCACTTCCAGGGGAAAGCATCTGAGGTCTGCTGGCTAAGAACTGTCTCCATGGCTACCAGACTTCCAAGGAAGAAGCAGGTTTTGACTGGTGACCTTGGGACGAATGTGATGGCCCTAACAATTCTTGCTCCTTCCCAGGGCGACTCTGTGGTCAGGCTTGGTCATTTAGCCAACAGGCTTCTCCTTGGGCTCTCCCTGGGTCTGCTCTGGTCTCTGAATGCTAACGCTTCATTTCAGTGAAGAACTTGGCTGAGTCAGGGCAAAAATATGTAAGGGGGGCGGGGGTCCCTCTGGACCTCATGTCACTTGAGATGAAAAATGTTATGCTGCCTCTGTACTATAACAATCTGAGACTATAAACAATGATTTAATTAATGACCATAGAAGAATATTTGCTCACTGATGTTACGTGGTCTAAAACCCCATAACTGATGCAACATGAAGCCAATGTTTACATGGGCGCAGATGACTAGAACCTAACATTTTGATGGCAACTGCTACTTTGAAGAGTGATAAACAATGACATTTCATTCCCAAGGCCCTTAACAAGAGAAGCAGAGGGAGGAAGGTGGAACTGTTGAGAGGGGCTGACTCTGGTAGGGAAGGAAATAACTGGATTTGGACAGGAAGAGAAAAGGAATCATTGTGGAATCCAACAACCCATCCAGCTAAGCAGCTACTATTACCTCCCTGGATTTTCCAAGTTGCAGTGCTCAGAACTTATAAATCTTAAGGGCTATATTCTATAGCCAGGCCCTGAAATACTCTGAGTTGACTAAATTGTCTTCAAAAGGATGCTTCAAAGATTCCTATAAACAATAACTAAAACTAAATTATGGTGTAATATTAGTTGATTAAGACAAGACTTCAATTTGAGTAATTTTCATCAGCTGGACACAGACAGTGGTAAAAACAATAACCCATGACTAAATGCATACTATCTGATGGGAGGAATTGTAATCCGATGTGGCAGGAATAACAGAAAAATTTTTTAAAATTAAGAAATAGAAAGGAAATATTTTTTTACAAGACCACAGAATGAAGGGAAAATGGGAAAAGCGTAGCTCACTCATGGTTTTCAAATGCCAACAAAGTTCCAAGACTTATTTCAAGAACAGCCTCTTCACTCAGAGGAAATCTGGGATCTACTCAGCATCCCTCTCCTGAGCCTTTGTTCCTCCTGTATCTCCCCCTGAAATGAAGCCAAACACAATTACTGACAAGCAGAGACAAGCAGAATTACCGATACCTTTTAGTGAGGCAAGCCACCCAATACACTAAAATACTTGTAGAATGTGTTATTTTAGAGTTTAAAGGAAATGTTAAAAACTACCCATGCAGCCCTTCATTTTTTAGATGAGGAAATTGAGACTTGCTTACAAGACTGTTGCAAATAGAAGCAGATAGAGACAATGCCAAGCAAAGGGAAAGATGCACACAGGTTTATGAACCTGGCTATGCACCTACTCCCAGAGAACTTCCCACACCCCCCACCCACAGTACTGAGCCCTGGCAGAGCACATACTTTTCTCTGTAGGCTTTACCCCTGCCCATGCGCAATTCAGCAAGGAGAGAGAACTGGCCCACGCTGGACATTGTAATTGGGGAGAAGGGGGGAAGGGAACTTGAAATCAGAATTTAGATTTGCTGGTCACCGTCAAGTGGAGAACACATAAGTTCTCCTTTGCAATATCCTGCCTTGTCAACAGTATGTGTCGTGCGGATGGATGGGTATATGCTATATGGGGTGGCCATCTCCAATTGTGCACTTGTCATAGTAGTGAAGGTCTATCTACAGAGAAGAAGAATGCCATGAACAATAGAAAGAAGCCTGGAAGGAAACAAAAACAAAAACACATCTCCCTGGTCCCTCAGGAGACCCAAGCTTCCCTTCCCACTGAAGCTTCTGAGTCCCTTCTCTCTTTCTCCAAAACACTCTTTGTAATTTCAGGGAGAAACTTTGTTGCTTGCAACTAAAATAACATCATCTTAAGTTACCAAAACTGGAACTGAGACCTGCAAACCCTTCATCGAGTCCTCTTTCCTCCACTGAAGTCCAAACACTGGAAATTTTATGAAGGATGGCTTAGGAGATCAGTATAAAAACAGATCACCTAAAACCATTGTTACCAATTTACTGTACTGCTGCACACATTTTCCTTTATTAGTATTTATAGACAATTTATCCATTTTTCTTTTCTTTTTTTTGTCCTTTTTGAGACCGGCTGCACCGCACCCAGCCAGTGAGCGCTGTGAGCGCACCGGTCAGAACCCGCGGCGGGAGCTCTGCTGCGCTCCCAGCGCTGCACTCTCCCGAGTGCGCCACGGGCTCGGCCCTTTATCCATTTTTCAAACATCAGAGAAGGTCCCAATCTGAGTAAGATATGAGGCTGGGCTATCAGAGCATCCACGGTGAAATTGAGTCAAAGGCTGCTCTCGTGAAGCCTGCAGCCTCGAAGGAGAGATAAGATAGGTCCACAGGTCAATATAACACAATGGAATAATTTAGGACACTTATGTACCAAGCACTGAGCCACGAGCTTTATCTGTATGGTCTCATTTCATGCCGACAGCATCTGTTTGGGGAAGGTATTATCACTACCACCGGTCTGTAGGTGATGTAACTCAGATCCACTCAGGTAGGTTTGGTATCTCGCACATAGGCGGTGGATGGTGGAGGCTGGATTTGAATTCAGTGAGTCTGGACTCTCCCACCTGTTCCCTGCTATGCTTTACCTTCTTGCTGTGTGTAAAATGAAGAGAAGCCCTAATAGACCATTACTTCCCTCCTGTGCCATCCCCTAACTAGGACTGATAATCAATTAACCTTATGAATATAAAAAAGCTAACAATTATTGACCACTTATTATGTTCCCACATTGAACTAGGTACCTAATATACAGCATTTCATTAATGAGAATCAAAGGAAGAACTGGATACGAAATTTCAGTTAGACAGGAGGAATAAGTTCAAGAGGTCTATAGTACAACATGGTGACTATAGTTAATAACAATGTATTGTATCTTCGAAAATTGCTAAGAGAGTAGATTTTTAGTGTTATCACAAATAAATGAAAAGTCTGTAAGGCAATACATATGTTAATTGGCTTGATTTAGCCATTGCACAATGTATAAACATCACGTTATATACCATAATATACACAATTTTGATTTGCCAATTAAAAGAAGAATCAAACGAAGAATTATTATTACCACTCTTATTTTGAATGTTATAATATTGAAGCAAGTTAAAGCTAAATAACTTAATTAGTCATGTAGGCAAAGTTATGCTATGGGAGCATACAAAACTGGAAATCTCAGTGGCTTAAATAAACAAAGGTTTATTTGTCATGCAAACTGCGTATCCAGTGTGGGTTGGCAGATGGTGGGGGCAGGGTGAAAGGCAAATGCTCCATGTGGTCACTCAGAGACTCAGGCTGCAGCATCTCTTGACTATTCCATCTGGAACATGTAGTTTCATAGTTCATGAGAGCAGGAAAAGAGAGTATGAACCACCACACCAGCTCTTAAATGCTTTAGCCCAGAAATGACTCAGGTTGCTTTCACTCAGCCTACTGGCCAGAACCAGTCTTGAGGCCTCACGTAACTGCAAGAGGGCTGAGAACGGTGACAGAGTACATGGATACTTAGTGTCCAGTAAATGTCTCTGCTGTCGTAATGCTCCCAAGTCACTACTCAATCACTAAGTAGCAGAGTGGAGAGGCTTAACTACTCCACTTAACTGGGTCCTCAAAATTCATAAACATACTTTGAGAAAAGCTGTTACAAGTCTATCAATAATCATGTAAAAACACTCAGACCTTATTTCAGAATTCACAGCCTTCTCTCGGAACTCTGCTTTCTCACAACTATCCCTAATTCTGCACATCCAAGGGGAAGTTATTCAGAGCCAAGTACACTGGGGAAACCCACCTTTGTTGGCACATGCCATCCACTTGAGGTTGTCTGCAAAAGCAGCCTCTCGTCCGATGAGGTACGTGAAGATGCGAACCTGAAAGGAAGACACACACATGGGTGAGTGGTCTTCACTTTTCACCGTCCTGTGCAGCCCACATGCACGGCTCACACACATGTGGTTTACCTCTTTAATGCTCTGTGCTTCCCATCTGTAGGAACATATTTAAGACATTTGAAGTACAGTCAGCTAGAAATATATTCAAAACTGGGGCCTTTGATCTTTTAAACCATATGGCACTGGTGGTGGCTGTTTTTCGGTGTGCAACTCACGACAGAGGAGAACAACTTGAAATGGGAGACTGGCGGTATCATGGGCCTGGGTTTGTTCCACACATATGGACAGAGATCATCCAGGTCTGGACCAGATATCCAACCATTTGCTTCATTCACAGAGGAAACGCAGAGTGTGTGCTCTTTTTGGGAATAAAAGCACCACCAAAAGACCCTCAACATTTCCCCCCAATGGTGAGGACAGGCTGCAGACACTCTCCTGCCATCTGTGGTGTCTGGCGTGATTTTAGGAGGTAATTAACTGGGATGAGAGGCACAGCCTGTGGCTAGGAGACCAAGGGCGACTCTCTTTAGTCTTCCCAAGTTTTTGGCTCCCAAAGAGCAGAGAACACATGTAAAACCATGGCTCTCTCCTTTTCTACTGCTTCCTGAACTCCCTCTCATGAGGCCAGAACTTTCTGAAACAAAATGCATCTACCTGGTAGAATAGTACTTCAGGGTTAGATGGAAGAAAGATAAAAAATTTAAAGGGTTAAAACACTTTAATTCAAGTTTAACACAGTATGTGAGTGAACACTACACAGTCCAGACAAAACTCTTCGGGCAGACTGAGGACAGCCTTTTAGCCACCTCTTTGAGACTGAGATCAGTGTCGACATGGTGGCACCAAGCTCTGCCTGCTAATGTCCCCTCAACTCCCCCAGACTGGTGGGTCAGGCGCTCCTTGTGTGGGCAGGTCTGTGAGGTTGATCTCCTCCACTAGGCTGTCCACTTGAGGAGGGGAAGAAAAGGATGTGCCTCCTTTAACTGACTGTGTCCCAACGGAGCATAATACTTGCAGTGTTACAACTCAGTACATGGATGGATCAACATGAGTGCTTATAGCTGACTGCAAGCATGAAGATTTTCTTTTAATTATGAAACTTACTCCTCTAGGAAAAGCTCCAGTCTCCCAGAAAGTTATCTGTGAAGGCTAGTTGTTAGGTGATGGTTTATTTCCCACTTAAAGAGACGTTTAAATGCACATTATTATTATGGAATCTCAGTCTGTCCTCCTTTGTGCTGGGCAAGGCAGTCATTTCATTCATCACAGCCCCTGCAAGGGGGCCTCCTGGGGGATGCGCAGGCAGACCGGCTTTTGCCCCTTTTCACTCTCCTATCTCTTTCCCACACCATTCCCACTAGAGTTACATTTGGGAGCAAGGACACTACATGTTTCCTAAAACTGGAAGAGTCTGACTTCTCTTGGGGGTGGGGGAGGCAAAGATTCAGCCTCCTATGGCCAAAGGTGGCTCCCATTGACCCCATTACACAGCACTGCCTCCTTTGCTCACTTTTCCTACCTGGCAACAGTCATAATTTAGCTGAGGATTTCTGATTTAGGAAGAAACTGAGGCCCAGCTAAGGAAAGTGTTTTGCTTAGTTTCACCAAGGTTTGATCTCATGAGAGAGGGCTTCCAAGACCTAAGGACAGCACTAGGGCCTCCTTTCCACCTCCTGGAGATGCTGGTTTGGTCAATACAGAATACCACAACCAGCTCCAAGGCCCAGAGCCAGCACCCACAGGAGCCAGGACTGGAATCCAGTCTCTTGAGACCAGACCCATGCTTTTTTCATAAATCTTTGTCTTTAATTTCAAATTTAATCTCTTCAAAGGGAAAACATTAGGGCTCTTAGCCAAGCAAGAAAACATAAGAGATAGCTCTTAGGAAATGAAGCAAAGAGTCTATCTTTGTAGACAAAGACCCAACGCAAAGCAACCCGTTTGTTTTTGAGTAAAGGTAGCTGTGTGTGCCAGCCTCCTCTGCTGTCCAGATGAAGAGCCTTAATATAAATCAAGTTCTTTCTCGGGGGCATAGTTAAAACTCCAGAACAATGCTGTGAATCACTGGCAAAACTTCTACAATTCCTGATTTAAAAGATGGCAACCTACTTGGAAAACCAGTAGTACTGTGCCAAACTTCAGACCACACATGATTGCTCAAGAATAATTATGCTAACAATAACCACAATAACGAAAGCCAGCACCATGACCCCTTACTCCACCCACACTGCCCCTACCATCACCAGCACTGTGGCTTCTACAGTCCACACTATCCCCTGAGTCAAGTACTACACTAAGGGATTTTTAGGCATAATATTTGTTCTGTTGGTTGGTATTTTATTTTATTGCTTAGGAAAGAATATCAGAATCATGTTCAATATTTCTATTTATGTGCAGTCCTTGGCTCCCAGTGGACTGACTTCGTTATCTGAGTGGAAATGATTTGTTGCATGTCTGCCTATAAAATAAGCATAATCAAATGATACTGGGTTCACGCCCTGAATTTCTCACAATACCTTTCAACTGACCGCAAAAGAAAAGGGATTTTACTTCAAAGTATGAAACATTTTGGAGAGCAATTTAACAACATCCACAGCGTTTTATATTTGTAAATTTTTTGACCTAGTAGTTCTACCTCTAGGCATTTATCTTATAGCCAGGATAACAGATGAAATGCCAATGGGGAATAACAGGTAACAAAGATGACGGGAAGTGATAGAAGTATTGGAGAGTGCCTGAGTTCTGGAAGTCCTGTAATTCAGATTTGGACGTCTGTTTTCACAAATACACAATGACAAAAGTACATGGTTGTTCACCTTCATTACCTGTAATGGTCAAAGACAGTTAAATACAAAGTATCTCTCAACAGCAAATTGGCTACATGGTACATTCATGTAGTGGGATCCACACAGCTATATACACATCCATTATGAATTGGTAAGGGAAAAAAACCAAGTTGTGAGACATGTGTAGCACAGAATCCTGTTTTTTCTAAAAGGGGACTTCCACTTTTTACTTGATAAACTTTTTGTGTCATTTGAATGATTTTACAAATCAATAAGTATTGCTTTAATAATTAAAGATTGTTTTAAATGAGAAGAAAGTAATGACATTGCTACTCCCTGAATAATTTTGTACGGATATAGGAAGAATAAACTTATCCATGAAAATCAAACACAAAAAGGGATGACGTGTGGATATTAAGTCCTGGTCTTGCGTATTCCAGTGAGGGTGTCCTTACTCTACTGCTCATTTAACTGAATGCAAAACCTCTACGAGTTACACAGTCAAACTGCTCATTCCATTATTTTGTATAACCTGCTGGATTTTATTTGCAAAATGGAAGCTTTCTTCCCTAGGAAGTACTACCAAACAACGTTCACTGATCTGCCTTGAGCCCAGCTACTTCTCGGATGTGGCAAGGAGCATCAGCAGAGCCAGATCTGGGGTGGTCCTGAAAGCCAGGTGCACAGCACAGACAACCACAGGAAGGAGCCAGGGCACATGCGGGCCAGGGCAGTCATCAGGATACACCAAAGCACCCCAGAGAGACTGGCCTTGGAAGGCACTGCTTCCATGAACGCAGCTCAAAATCAGGGGTAAAGAAAGTCTGCATCAAACTATTAGTTCATTTTGATCTCCCATTTAAATTTGGATGGTCTTTAAATATTCTACAAACCAAATTAAGCTTAATAAAATGTTACGATATAGGCTTTCAAAGTTCAAAGCCACTTATTTTAATCTACTTAGTATAAAATTTCCCAAATGAAACAAACAAAAAAACTCAATCCAGTTTTCCTAAAAAACATTATGCCTTTTATTCATGTAGATGCAATCCCCATCACAAACATGGAGGGGCACCATTCCTCTCAACATTTAGTGAATATAGATAATGTGAGTTTGCAAAGAAAATGAATCAAATTGTCTCCTTTCTGCAGCCATTAAAAAGGGAGAAAAGTGGCTGTTCATAGAATTACAAGGGGACAATGGCACAACCAGAAAATAGGCTGCTTCTGCTTGTACATCTCCCTTCAGTAATGAAGGGGAGATCACAATGTCCTGTGCTGCAGAGACAGTCCAAGGAAAGCAGTTCATCACCTGTCTGTCATATGTAACTTCTGAGTGCCTACTATGTACCAGTGACCATTCTTGGTGCTAGGGGTACCATGGGTAAACAAAACAAACTCTGCCCTCAGCGAGTGTACGTTTTCTTGGGAGGGAGACAGGTAGAATGCTTATTCATGTAGAATGCTTATTTGTTGGATTCAATGCTGATGAAGAGACTAAAGCAGAGAAAGGTGATGGGGAGTGATGGGGGCTGCTAATTTAGAAAGGGAGGAAGGGAAGGCCCTCCGGATATGGTGATATTTGAGCAAAGATCTGGACAAAATGGGGGCAGGGGATAGGGGACAAGCCATATGGCTATTAGGGAAGAGTGTTCCAGGTGAAGGGAACAAAAGGTACAAAGTCCTGGGGTTAGGGATGCCTGAGGGTTTTGGACAGGCCAGTGTGGAGGGAGTCACCAGAAGAGGTTGCAAGGGATGAACTTGGAGGGACAATGGGTGCCACATCACATGAACCCTGCAGGCCACTGTTAGAGTGTGGGCTTTATTCCCAGCAAGAACAGAAGCCACAGGAGGGACTGAGGGGAAGCCTGACATGAGCTGACACATAATGTGAAAGGGTCGTTCTGGCTGCAGTGGGAAGAATAGGCCATGGACAGTTGTGCTCCACCTGGCTGCCCATTCAATTTTCCTGTGATGTTCCTATAATTCTGAATGCCCAGGTCCCATCCAAGAACGATTCAATCAGAGCCTCTGGAGGCAGGGCCCAACTTTTAATCTCTCGACGGAGATTCCAATGTGCAGCCGCTTTTGAGAACCAAAGCGGGACACCCAGCCAGGCCAGTCTTTGTCACTCAGAGAGGCCTGAGAGCTGCTGGGCCCACACGCCCCAAGTCAACCACACCAGAACAGGCA